CCCCCAGCCAGCCCCCTGCCATTAGCAACAGGACAAGGCATCTTATCATAAGCTATTGCACAATACAGGTGTCTGGAATTAAAATTTTGGTCAAATGGGCCTGATAACCATTCTACAACGTATAAGATAGTCCCCATATGCTGACTACTGTAATGACAAAAAATCATTCCATCACCTGCAAAACAGGAATGAACATAACCTTTAAAAATAAAAGGAACTGAGTTAAGTTTTCCAGGTGCCAAAGATAGTAATTTCCAAACAGTTACAGGAAAAACAGCCTTAACTGTTCAAAGTTGGCAGTAGTGTCTTCCTCCAATTTATTATCTGGAAAATTAAATTACTCTCGCAAAAATAATACAGTTCTGTGGGAAGAGACACAATGTTAAATCCTGCTAAATCCTTGATTCGATAAGAGAAGAGTATCTCCATAGACATGCAAAATCCATTAACTAGAGCTACCTAAAGCAATGAGCCTCATCTAAAAATTCTGCAGTTTCTAGTTTGCTTCATATAAAATTGTGGATTCTTTAAATTCACTTTCTGATTAGATCCCATACTTCTGCCTCTTCTCATCAGTCATGCAAAAACATTTTAATATACAAGAGATTGTGAAACAAAATAAAATAAACAAGACATAGACAGGCTTGCACTGGAAAACACCCACCTTGGCAATCCTAGGAAACACGAGCATTTGAATATGTTGGTCACAAGAACATTTAAGTAATTCAGCCTGGCTACTGAGGTTCATTGGATCTACCAATGTCAGGGAAGTTTTGCTAGGCTTAGCATCCACAAAGAAGTTTACAATCCAAACATGAAATACTAATGCTTCGTGTACCTTTAATCTTTATCTTTAGTTCTTCCAAAGCATGCTGAAAATGTGCAGGGCTGAAACTCAGCTCTAAAAATAGCGTAAGTGGCAATTTTAGCTGTGTGACATGGCAACCAGTCAATTCATGTAAAGCAAGGATCTAGCATCAATGCTCACGTATGTAAATCACTTTTGCCCCCTAAGCTGCCCAGAGGGATGAAAAATATCAATAATAACAATGACTCCTCTACAGAGCTTTCTTTCAAAATAAAGCTTTTCTGATAAGTTATTCACCAGCCAGTATCAGCAACTTGTATCAAAAGCAGTCTTCTCTAGAGCAGGTAAAGGAAAAGTGGAGGTGACATTTGAAGACAGGCGTGGATATCTGGATATACAAGGATGTGCTCTGCACCAGTATTATTGCCCCACTGCTCCTCTGTGACCTCGCAGGGACCTTATCTATCACTTGGGCCATTCCCTTTACCAGATGGCCTCCGCTGTGCAGTTACAGCTACCACCACTGTTCCAGCAGATGCTGCCAAGCTGTTCCACACTCTCACATCCACCAAATGCCATTTGTCAGGCAGGAGGATCACACTGTTTCTCCCACTCCTTCCCCTGCCTTGTGCTCCACTCCCACAACACCTTCATGGCTTGCACTGCCAATGAATCGACAACCGCACTTCTGCTTGAGCAGCCCAGCCTGATGGCACACCGGGCTACTCCTGGCACTTGGGCTCTTGGATGGAAAGGGGTATTGGAGCACCGTGCCCTGGCAGGCACAGTCATGCCCTCACTCTGGCTGTGGTCACAGGAGCAATGCTGGGAAGCCAGGCTGCTGACACATGCCCCCACCCACCCTGGAAACCATCTTGCTTTGTGTCACACTGCCTGATATATATGTATCACATACAGGCAAAGAAAAACGTTGAGACAATTGTTCTTCCTGAGTTTCGTCCTCTAGCAGTTCTCAGGATGCCTCTTCTGCAGCCTCTGGATCAGGTAAACTCTCCCTGCCCAGCCCTTCTCCTCTAGACTTAAGGCTATGGTTTTCAAAAAATTGCAACAAGTCAGCTGTCACCTGGCACAGAGTATCAAACCTTTGGATTTCCTTTGGAAATCCTAACCAAAATTAGCTCATCAGAGATTATAGCCAGCAAAAGTTAAATGCAAGAAGATGCAGCCTAAATAAAACAGTTAGCAGAGCTCTGCTTCGCAGGCAGGGAACGACGACCACATTTGGAGAGAAACTCCAATCAGCTATTCTTGTCCCTTTCAATGTTTTTCAGGGGATGGAAGGACATTGTGGTAAAGGGATGGAGAGAGACATTGGATGAGTTAGCAAAGGATTACCACAGCTGGAGGACAGTGAGAAGAGGGATATCATCTTTCATCTCGAAAACTGTTCACCAGTGATACAGAAAAGTGAATCTCAAATAACAAGGTACTTTCTCGTCCCAGATCAGCCAGAAAGAGATTTGTGAAGCCTGTCAATAAGGTGACTGCCCAATTCCAAAACGATACAAGTTTGACACACAAAGACAT